CATCCATTGCAAATGATAGTTCCTCATTATTTGAAAAACGTCATAAAAAACATTTCTGTCCCGAGCTCACTGGTGCAGGGAACTCAGAGGTCCCGGAATACGCTATTTATACAATGTTGCAAGTTCGCTAGTGACAGCTTCCGGACGGATCAAGTGATGATTTGATACAATGTTGCAATAGCTCAAGTCAAGAGCAATAGAAATGGAAGCACACAGGCGTAGTAGAGAGATTAATGTGTTTGAAAGAACCAGAATTTTCATCAGGATATTTTCTACTGTTTTTATTTGTTGGCTTTAGGCCTATGTATTTTACTTAGTTGACGATGGAAGTTATAGGCCTACTGCTGCATCTCTGAATTCTATGCTCTCTCTCATTTCTTTAGCCATTAATGGATCATAGTGTATCAATGTGTCCATCCATATAGCAGAGCCTAGTGCTCTCACCATAGTTGAATTGTAACTTTTAGATTTTCATAATTTTACTTCAGATTTGTATGATTAACCACGTGACAATGATTTTGAGAAAGGAAAACGTTATTATTGAAATGAAACTGTTCCACGAAAATGCGCATATAAAAATAATCATAACTGTCAGAAATGGTAGGATGAATTGTAAGCTTCCCAAACTTGAAACTCACGAGCTGCCTATGGTCTTTTACTATTACAGCCATTCAAAAAAATGGTGAACGCGCAAGCGCCTGCACACATAGGAGGTCCCTTAAAAAAACATGGAAATCAAAGGCCTTTCCAACTGATTCGGGTCTGGATAAGAAGAGCGACATGAAAGAGAGAAGAGAGAGAGAAGACAGGAAGGTAGCAGGAGAGAGGAAGGGTGATGCATGATGACATGAGGAAGAGGACACAAGGCAGACAGAACTAACAAACAGAAAAAGCTGAAACAATGGAGAAACCAGTAGATAATAATAGCACACTACTGCAATCTGATGTCTGACGGATTTTGTCTGTCTGTTAACATTTCCAGTGGTAAATGTCTTGCCTTGAGACATTGAGAGGAAACACAGTCTAAGTACTTTCTGAACTCACTTGGAAGGGCTCTGTGTAGTTTTTCCATAATTTCAGCCAGTAGTAGCCAGTTGTAGTGCTCATGAGCTAAAACGGGTCACTGAAGTTTGTGTTGTATGTCATATTAGGCTGTGCATGTGCAGCTCCGCATAAAGGTTCACACAATTGGCACTAACTAGCCCCACTTTCATTAAGCGGATAATGTGCCCGACTTCCAGTTTTACCTTGCAACCTCATTAGACATGATTGCACCTGCCTATGAACATTGTCCGTCAAGTTATGTTGTTGTAGGCTACTATGGACTGAATTTAGAGTCAAAAGTTTAGACACACCTACTCATTCCAGGGTTTTTCTTTATTTTTACAATTTTTTACATTGTAGAATAATAGTAAAGACATCAAAACTATGAAATAACACATATGGAATCATGTAGTAACCAAAAAAGTGTTAAACAAATCAAAATATATTTTAGATTTTAGATTCTTCAGAGTAGCCACCCTTTGCCTTGATGACAGCTTTGCACACTCTTGGCATTCTCTCAACCAGATTCATGAGGTAGTCACCTGGAATGCATTTCAATTAATAGGTGTGCTTTGTTAAAAGTTAATTTGTGGAATTTCTTTCCTTCTTAATGCGTTTGAGCCAATCAGTTGTGTGACAAGGTAGGGATGGTCTACAGAAGATAGCCCATATTATGGCAAGAACAGCTCAAATAACCAAAGAGAAACAACAGTTCATCATTACTTTAAGACATGAAGGTCAGTCAATCCGGACAATTTCAAGAACTCATTAGAGTTAACTGCACCTCAGATTGCAGCCCAAATAAATGCTTCACAGAGTTCAAGTAACATACATCTCAACATCAACTGTTCAGAGGAGACTGTGTGAATCAGGCCATCGTGGTAGAATTGCTGCAAAGAAACCACTACTAAAGGACGCCAATAAGAAGAAGAGACTTGCTTGAGCCAAGAAACACGAGCAATGGAAATTAGACCGGTGGAAATCTGTCCTTTGGTCTGATGAGTCCAAATGTGAGATTTTTGGTTCCAACCTCGATCTCTTTGTGAGACACAGAGTAGGTAAACAGATGATCTCCGCATGTGTGGTTCCCACCGTGAAGCATGGAGGAGGAGGTGTGATGGTGCTTTGCTGGTGACAGTGTCTGTGATTTATTTAGAATTCAAGGCACACTTAACCAGCATGGTTACCACAGCATTCTGCAGCGATATGCCATCCCATCTGGTTTGCGCTTAGTGGGACTATCATTTGTTTTTCAACAGGACAATGACCCAACACACCTCCAGACTGTGTAAGGGCTATTTGACCAAGGAGAGTGATTGCATGCTGCATCACATGACCTGGCCTTCGTAATCACCCGACCTCAACTCAATTGAGATGGTTTGGGATGAGTTGGACCGCAGGGGTGAAGGTGCTTGTCCTATGTCTTTAAATATGGATGTGGTACACTTCCGGTGAAATGGCCTGACGAAGATCCTTGCAGGATCAAAACGTTGTTTGTTTGTGAATAAAGGTACGTAATGGAGCTTATAAGTGTGCGGGCTCTATTTATACCAACTTTTTTCAGCCCTGCACCCCACTAACGGATGTGCGTTTGATCACACTTGACTAAATGAATAGACTATTACATTAATATAATTAACTAAATGTTAATTAAACAAAATATATATACAGTTGAAGTCGGAAGTTTACATACACTTAGGTTGGAGTCATTAAAACTCATTATTCAACCACTACACACATTTCTTGTTAACAAACTATAATTTTGGCAACTTTGTGCATGACACAAGTAATTTTTCCAACAATTGTGAACAGACAGATTATTTCACTTATAATTCACTGTATCACAATTCCAGTGGGTCAGAAGTTTACATACACTGAGTTGACGGTGCCTTTAAACAGCTTGGAAAATTCCAGAAAATGATGTCATGGCTTTAGAAGCTTCTGATAGGCTAAATGACATCATTTGAGTCAATTGGAGGTGTACCTGTGGATGTATTTCAAGGCCTACCTTCAAACTCTTTGCTTGACATCATGGGAAAATCAGAAGAAATCAGCCAAAAAAGTATGTAGACCTCCACAAGTCTGGTTCATCCTTGGGAGCAATTTCCAAACGCCTGAAGGTACCACGTTCATCTGTACAAACAATAGTACGCAAGTATAAACACCATGGGACCACGCAGCCATCATACCGCTCAGGAAGGAGGCGCGTTCAGTCTCCTAGAGATGAACGTACCTTGGTGCGAAAAGTGCAAATCAATCCCAGAACAACAGCAAAGGACCTTGTGAAGATGCTGGAGGAAACAGGTACAAAAGTATCTATATCCACAGTAAAACGAGTCCTATATCGACATAACCTGAAAGGCCGCTCAGCAAGGAAGAAGCCACTGCTCCAAAACCGCCATAAAAAAGCCAGACTACGGTTTGCAACTGCACATGGGGACAAAGATCGTACTTTTTGGGAGAAATGTCCTCTGGTCTGATGAAACAAAAATCGAACATCGTTATGTTTGGAGGAAAAAGGGGGTACTTGCAAGCCGAAGAACACCATCCTAACCGTGAAGCACGGGGGTGGCAGCATCATGCTGTGGGGGTGCTTTGCTGCAGGAGGGACTGGTGCACTTCACAAAATAGATGGCAACATGAGGAAGGAAAATTATGTGGATATATTGAAGCAACATCTTAAGACATCAGTCAGGAAGTTAAAGCTTGGTCGCAAATGGGTCTTCCAAATGGACAATGACCCCAAGCATACTTCCAAAGTTGTGGCAAAATGGCTTAAGGACAACAAAGTCAAGGTATTGGAGTGGCCATCACAAACCCTGACCTCAATCCTATATAAAATGTGTGGGCAGAACTGAAAAAGCGTGTGTGAGCAAGGAGGCCTACAAACCTGACTCAGTTACACCAGCTCTGTCAGGAGGAATGGGCCAAAATACACCCAACTTATTGTCGGAAGCTTGTGGAAGGCTACCCAAAACGTTTGACCCAAGTTAAACAATTTAAAGGCAATGCTACCAAATACTAACTCAGTGTATGTAAACTTCTGACCCACTGGGAATGTGATTAAATAAATAAAAGCTGAAATAAATCATTCTCTCTACTATTATTCTGACATTTCACATTCTTAAAGTAAAGTGGTGATCCTAACTGACCTAAGACAGGGAATTTTTACTAGGAGTAAATGTCAGGAATTGTGAAAAACTGAGTTTAAATGTTTTTGGCTAAGGTGTATGTAAACTTCCAACTTCAACTGTAAGATCACAGCTTCACTTAAAATGCACTATTGTTTAGCAGTACACACTATGTGCCTAATAAATAATGTTTGCAATATAATAAGGTATACATACTGTCAACAGTAAGAGTGGCAACTAGCAAGCAAAGTGTAGAGACTGCTATCTGAATGGTATCATCTAGGTATATAAAACTTAAAGATGTTATTTTGAAATCCCTCCAAAATAGCTTCTCCCCATCTACCTCCATCTTCTTCTAAATCTGCCTTTTTTGTCTCCCTGTTTCGCTCTGTTAGCTTATCAAAACATAATAAAATCATTAAAAATCATTAAAATAAAAAAAGATATGCATCTCTATGCTATTTTATGATTTTCTCTTTAAAGTGCAAGTGTGGTTCTTAGTTCTTGAAACGCTGACTGGTGGTGACTATATGGCCGGAACCAATGTTTAGCGGTGGTAGAAGCTGCCTGTAGGCATAGATCTAGGATCAGCTAAACCTCCCCAATCCTGACCTCATCCATTAGGGGGAAATATGTAAAACTGACCTAAGTTCAGCATCTAGTAACTACAGTACTTCATTCGGGAGGCCCTTCCTTCCTGCTCCTAATTAGGTTCCTGGATGATGTCCTCAAGCTGGACTGACCTGTAAAACACATTCAGACACACAGTGAGTGAAAGGCAAAACACACACACACACACACACACACACACACACACACACACACCTTGTTTTTGCAGAATCTTGGCCCAAATATTATGCCAAGGATAGCATTGATTGTATGTGCTGCACAAAGAAGGGCCTGCAGTCCACTGGTTGCCATGAGAACAGAAAACAGCACTACGTTCCATTGAACAACGTTCCGTGGCTCCTCGCAGGCCGCTGGCCATAATGTTCTATCATACAGGTAGATGGGATCTCTACAAAGAAAAGTACGGTTAAACTAAATTGACATTCATAACACATAGAACTAGTGAACACAAGCTGTACAAAGTGTAGAAAATGATTACTGGTAATTGTTGTTCTGCTTTAGACCACACACACCACAGTTCTCGAAACTGCTTTTAAGGAATTGAGAACTCCCCCCCCCCCCCCCCTCACACACACACACACTCACCCGGTTTTCTGTGGTTTGAGTGGCATCTCCCAGGCCAGACCTTGTGTGCTGTTGTGCAGACACAGTGGTCCCTGTACCAGTCCTGTGGCGCTCACTAGGCAGCAGAAGGCTGCAGCAGCCAGAGCCACGCAGGAACACCCCACTTGGCACAGCATCTGGCCACAAGAGGGCGGAAGATCCATACTTTTACAATTTGATAGAAAGGGGGCCTGGGGTGGTTGCAAGTGGATAGAACACATCTCTGGGACATCTCTGTAGTAGCACATGTAAACTGAAGTTGGCGTGGGTTCAATTCCGGCCCACTGACCTTCAATTCCGGCCCACTGAAATGCAAAAACTCTCTCCTAACTATTCCGTCTCTCTCTGTCTCTATCCAATAACCCATGAGAATTTGATAGAAAGGACAATGCGCTTCCAGACTAGTTCTAATTATTTCAGGATGTACACCACAACCCAGCAGGCAGGTCACATAGGTATACGGAAGACCGTTAAAACTAGTCAGATAGAGGACATGAAGATGTAATGGTGGAGGTGGATCGGTGGGTGAACCACACTAGTTTGATTAGTAACCTCGCCCTAGCTAATGCGGTCCTGAGGTGCCCAGATTTGGATGAAAACAGGTGACAGCCTCACCTCTATCCTGTATGCACAGCGGCCTTCCCTAGAGCTGCCAATCACAAACCCCCGAGCCCCAATTAGAACCTTCAGAAAAACAGAAAAAGCTCAATGAAATGTACCATTGAAATAAGATTACATTTGTTTGAATGTTTCAGTGATGGTCAGAATATAATTTGTACATGGAATGCCTATTCAGTAGAATGCTACACATTCACTTCCCTCCAATAATTGATTTATTTATTACAGTATTATTGTCAACAATAGCAGCAACAACAACTTGCAAAAAATCCTAACACTGTGACTGACTCTAAATTTAGCTTAAAAACAGACAACAGACATATCAGACACATGACAATCCACCCTCAAACCACAATCTGCCTTTTTTTGGACAATGGGGTTTTTCAGGAATGAGTGTCATGATGACTGTCATGTCATGACCTTATTAGGACAACACATACATGAACGCACACTCGCACGCACACACACACAGCATTGTTGTCTCACCAGGAATCCAGAGGCCCACAGGCCTGTGCCCCACGTGGCCTCTCTGGTCACGTGACCATCCAACAGGTAGCATGCCTGAAGGTTTGGCAACAGCAACAGGCCATTGGCCAACATGCACACAATTGCCATGGGAACGAGGGACACACCCACACACCTGGAGCAGCTGGCGACACTCATCTCTGTGGTAGACGTCCGGCAAGGAGGATGAAGAGAAGAGAGTCAGAATAACTTCAGAGTAATTATTATCTGTATTATTATTTTTTCTTTAGAGTGCCACTGTTGCTTATTTTGTAGCTCTTGTAATACACAACAAACCTCTCACCTACAGAGAAGTTCTATTTCACTCAGAAAAACCGGTCTGAGATCAGTCAAGAGAATAAAAAAGGATATTAGCCAAGAAAATGACCACATAGTGATTATTAGCTTGAGCCTTACCTGATGGAGTGAGACAGAATATTCTAGAGACCGAATGTGACGGAGAGGGAGAAAGAGAGATCCTGATAACTGCGGCAGTACTGGATGAGGAACATAAACTCGCTACTTGACAAAACTTAAATAGGCTCCATGCAGTGACACGTGCCCGCCCCCACAAATAGTATATACACACACATTATGTAGATTATTTTAAGTTGGTTTATAATTAGCAAAATTAGTCCTGTATATTTATATATATTTATACAGTTGAAGTCAGAAGTTTATATACACTTTAGCCAAATACATTTAAACTCAGTTTTTCACAATTCCTGACATTTAATCCTAGTAAAGATTCCCTGTTTTAGGTCAGTTAGGATCAACACTTTATTTTAAGAATGTGAAATGTCAGAATAAAAGTAGAGAGAACGATTTATTTCAGCTTTAATTTCTTTCATCACATTCCCAGTGGGTCAGAAGTTTACATACACTCAATTAGTATTTGGTAGAATTGCCTTTACATTGTTTAACTTGGGTCAAACGTTTTGGGTAGCCTTCCACAAGCTTCCCACAATAAGTTGGGTGAATTTTGGCCCATTCCTCCTGACAGAGCTGGTGTAACTGAGTCAGGTTTGTAGGCCTCCTTGCTCGCACACGCTTTTTCAGTTCTGCCCACACATTTTCTATAGGATTGAGGTCAGGGTTTGTGATGGCCACTCCAATACCTTGACTTTGTTGTCCTTAAGCCATTTTGCCACAACTTTGGAAGTATGTTTGGGGTCATTTGGAAGACCCATTTGCGACCAATCTTTAACTTCCTGACTGATGTCTTAAGATGTTGCTTCAATATATCCACATCATTTTCCTTCCTCATGATGCCATCTATTTTGTAAAGTGCACCAGTCCCTCCTGCAGCAAAGCACCCCCACAGCATGATGCTGCCACCCCCGTGCTTTATGGTTGGGATGGGGTTCTTCAGCTTGCAAGCACCCCCTTTTTACTCCAAACATAACGATGGTCATTATGGCCAAACAGTTCTATTTTTTTCATCAGACCAGAGGACATTTCTCCAAAAAGTACAATCTTTGTCCCCATGTGCAGTTGCAAACCGTAGTCTGGCTTTTTTATGGTGGTTTTGGAGCAGTGGCTTCTTCCTTGCTGAGCGGCCTTTCAGGTTATGTCGATATAGGACTCGTTTTACTGTGGATATAGATACTTTTGTACCTGTTTCCTACAGCATCTTCACAAGGTCCGTTGCTGTTGTTCTGTGATTGATTTGCACTTTTCACACCAAAGTACATTCATCTCCAGGAGACAGAACGTGTCTCCTTCCTGAGCGGTATGACGGCTGCGTGGTCCCGTTGTGTTTATACTTGCGTACTATTGTTTGTACAGATGAACGTGGTATCTTCAGGCATTTGGAAATTGCTCCCAAGGATGAACCAGACTTGTGGAGGTCTACAATTTTTTTTCTGAGGTCTTAGCTGATTTCTTTTGATTTTCCCATGATGTCAAGCAAAGAGGCACTGAGTTTGAAGGTAGGCCTTGAAATACATCCACAGGTACACCTCCAATTGACTCAAATGATGTCAATTAGCCTATCAGAAGCTTCTAAAGCCATGACATAATTTTCTGGAATTTTCCAAGCTGTTTAAAGGCACAGTCAACTTAGTATATGTACATTTCTGACCCACTGGAATTGTGATACAGTGAATTATAAGTGAAATAATCTGTCTGTAAACAGTTGTTGGAAAAATCACTTGTGTCATGCACAAAGTAGATGTCCTAACCGACTTGCCAAAACTATAGTTTGTTAACAAGAAATTTGTGGAGTGGTTGAAAAACGAGTTTTAATGACTCCAACCTAAGTGTATGTAAACTTCCGACTTCAACTGTATATTTTAAGGAATCCAATCCGAGCACAGATATTGGTCATGTGAGCACAGATATTGGTCATGTGATTGGTCATTTTTTGGACAATGGGGTTTTTCTTTTTTTTCAGGAATGAGTGTCATGATGACTGTCATGTCATGACCTTATTAGGACAACACATACATGAACGCACACTCGCATGCACACACACACAGCATTGTTGTCTCACCAGGAATCCAGAGGCCCACAGGCCTGTGCCCCACGTGGCCTCTCTGGTCACGTGACCATCCAACAGGTAGCATGCCTGAAGGTTTGGCAACAGCAACAGGCCATTGGCCAACATGCACACAATTGCCATGGGAACGAGGGACACACCCACACACCTGGAGCAGCTGGCGACACTCATCTCTGTGGTAGACGTCCGGCAAGGAGGATGAAGAGAAGAGAGTCAGAATAACTTCAGAGTAATTATTATCTGTATTATTATTTTTTCTTTAGAGTGCCACTGTTGCTTATTTTGTAGCTCTTGTAATACACAACAAACCTCTCACCTACAGAGAAGTTCTATTTCACTCAGAAAAACCGGTCTGAGATCAGTCAAGAGAATAAAAAAGGATATTAGCCAAGAAAATGACCACATAGTGATTATTAGCTTGAGCCTTACCTGATGGAGTGAGACAGAATATTCTAGAGACCGAATGTGACGGAGAGGGAGAAAGAGAGATCCTGATAACTGCGGCAGTACTGGATGAGGAACATAAACTCGCTACTTGACAAAACTTAAATAGGCTCCATGCAGTGACACGTGCCCGCCCCCACAAATAGTATATACACACACATTATGTAGATTATTTTAAGTTGGTTTATAATTAGCAAAATTAGTCCTGTATATTTATATATATTTATACAGTTGAAGTCAGAAGTTTATATACACTTTAGCCAAATACATTTAAACTCAGTTTTTCACAATTCCTGACATTTAATCCTAGTAAAGATTCCCTGTTTTAGGTCAGTTAGGATCAACACTTTATTTTAAGAATGTGAAATGTCAGAATAAAAGTAGAGAGAACGATTTATTTCAGCTTTAATTTCTTTCATCACATTCCCAGTGGGTCAGAAGTTTACATACACTCAATTAGTATTTGGTAGAATTGCCTTTAAATTGTTTAACTTGGGTCAAACGTTTTGGGTAGCCTTCCACAAGCTTCCCACAATAAGTTGGGTGAATTTTGGCCCATTCCTCCTGACAGAGCTGGTGTAACTGAGTCAGGTTTGTAGGCCTCCTTGCTCGCACACGCTTTTTCAGTTCTGCCCACACATTTTCTATAGGATTGAGGTCAGGGTTTGTGATGGCCACTCCAATACCTTGACTTTGTTGTCCTTAAGCCATTTTGCCACAACTTTGGAAGTATGCTTGGGGTCATTTGGAAGACCCATTTGCGACCAATCTTTAACTTCCTGACTGATGTCTTAAGATGTTGCTTCAATATATCCACATCATTTTCCTTCCTCATGATGCCATCTATTTTGTAAAGTGCACCAGTCCCTCCTGCAGCAAAGCACCCCCACAGCATGATGCTGCCACCCCCGTGCTTTATGGTTGGGATGGGGTTCTTCAGCTTGCAAGCACCCCCTTTTTACTCCAAACATAACGATGGTCATTATGGCCAAACAGTTCTATTTTTTTCATCAGACCAGAGGACATTTCTCCAAAAAGTACAATCTTTGTCCCCATGTGCAGTTGCAAACCGTAGTCTGGCTTTTTTATGGTGGTTTTGGAGCAGTGGCTTCTTCCTTGCTGAGCGGCCTTTCAGGTTATGTCGATATAGGACTCGTTTTACTGTGGATATAGATACTTTTGTACCTGTTTCCTACAGCATCTTCACAAGGTCCGTTGCTGTTGTTCTGTGATTGATTTGCACTTTTCGCACCAAAGTACATTCATCTCCAGGAGACAGAACGTGTCTCCTTCCTGAGCGGTATGACGGCTGCGTGGTCCCGTTGTGTTTATACTTGCGTACTATTGTTTGTACAGATGAACGTGGTATCTTCAGGCATTTGGAAATTGCTCCCAATGATGAACCAGACTTGTGGAGGTCTACAATTTTTTTTCTGAGGTCTTAGCTGATTTCTTTTGATTTTCCCATGATGTCAAGCAAAGAGGCACTGAGTTTGAAGGTAGGCCTTGAAATACATCCACAGGTACACCTCCAATTGACTCAAATGATGTCAATTAGCCTATCAGAAGCTTCTAAAGCCATGACATAATTTTCTGGAATTTTCCAAGCTGTTTAAAGGCACAGTCAACTTAGTATATGTACATTTCTGACCCACTGGAATTGTGATACAGTGAATTATAAGTGAAATAATCTGTCTGTAAACAGTTGTTGGAAAAATCACTTGTGTCATGCACAAAGTAGATGTCCTAACCGACTTGCCAAAACTATAGTTTGTTAACAAGAAATTTGTGGAGTGGTTGAAAAACGAGTTTTAATGACTCCAACCTAAGTGTATGTAAACTTCCGACTTCAACTGTATATTTTAAGGAATCCAATCCGAGCACAGATATTGGTCATGTGATCAGTCTGTCGTTCATTTTTCAGATGAAGCGTTTCAACAGAAACGCCTGATCATACTAGCTTAGCATGTCAAGATCACACTAGCTTAGCATGTCATGGCTGCCAAGATAGCTATGATCGCCTTCAGTGCATACAGTGCAGTACAACACTCTAGTGAAGACATATTCAGCTACTTATGTATTGATATTAACCAACTATAAAAATCTGTCTGTTTAAACTGTGGAAAGTGTCAGAGCTACACCACTGTTTGTCAGACCAGAGGTGCGTTGAACAAAGCTTCCATTTGCGAACTCTCGTGGCAATCTATGTTTGTTGAAAGTTTTTAACACGAACGTTCAATTTCTGTTAGTTTCTGTTAACTGAAATGGATGCGGCAAGAAGAGCGGCTGTGCTTGCTGCAGCTGGAGCAATTGTGGATGATTTTTAGGATTTTGGTCCCGATCCTATTGAAGCACTGCTTCCCCTACTAGCAGTCCATATTGGTGGGATTGAAGATGAGTCCGGGAGAATACTGAATTATGTGGAGTAGGTGATCCCGACATATAGTGACCTCTCCTTTCGGGCTCACTTTCGGATGGGTCAGGAGACCTTCCAGGTAATTTGCGATACATTTGCATATTGTATTATGTATCAGATGTATTATGTATGATATGTGCCTACTCCTCTTAAATAATGTCTGAACACCGTCTGATTTCCTGAATAAAATCAATCAAAATACAAACAAGCCCAGCCTCAATGATCTAGCTGCAGTGGGGAAAAAAAGTATTTAGTCAGCCACCAATTGTGCAAGTTCTCCCACTTAAAAAGATGAGAGAGGCCTGTAATTTTCATCATAGGTACATGTCAACTATGACAGACAAATTGAGGAAATCAGTATAAAAGACACCTGTCCACAATCTCAAATAGTCACACTCCAAACTCCACTATGGCCAAGACCAAATAGCTGTCAAAGGACACCAGAAACAACATTGTAGACCTGCACCAGGCTGGGAAGACTGAATCTGCAATAGGTAAGCAGCTTGGTTTGAAGAAATCAACTGTGGGAGCAATTATTAGGAAATGGAAGACATACAAGACCACTGATAATCTCCCTCGATCTGGGACTCCACGCAAGATCTCACCCCGTGGGGTCAAAATGATCACAAGAACGGTGAGCAAAAATCCCAGAACCACACGGGGGGACCTAGTGAATGACCTGCAGAGAGCTGGGACCAAAGTAACAAAGCCTACCATCAGTAACACACTACGCCGCCAGAGACTCAAATCCCCCACCCCACCCCCACCCCCACCCATTCTTCAAGGCAAAACTTCTCCAGCTCCTTCAAGTTGGATGGGTTCCGCTGGTGTACAGCAATCTTTAAGTCATACCACAGATTCTCAATTGGATTGAGGTCTGGGCTTTGACTAGGCCATTCCAAGACATTTAAATGTTTCCCCTTAAACCACTCAAGTGTTGCTTTAGCAGTATGCTTAGGGTCATTGTCCTGCTGGAAGGTGAACCTCCGTCCCAGTCTCAAATCTCTGGAAGACTAAAACAGGTTTCCCTCAAGAATTTCCCTATATTTAGCGCCATCCATCATTCCTTCAATTCTGACCAGTTTCCCAGTCCCTGCCGATGAAAAACATCCCCACAGCATGATGCTGCCACCACCATGGTTCACTGTAGGGATGGTGTTCTTGAGGTGTTGGGTTTTGTGGTGTTATTTTATGTATCATGAAGGCAAGTGTAGGCAAAGGTAAAATAATAATATTAGTAATAAGCATGGATCTGTTGTAAGATTGAAAATCTATATGCCTTGGAGTGTTTATGGATTGAGAGCCAGTTGAATTCAGAGCAGAGATAATTATGTGTTTTTCATGAAAACTTCTGCAGCTGGTTTAGGAATGTGAATGACGTGATGGCTGTGGAGATAGAAGTAACAATGGAGCTAGTGTTTGCGTTTCTTTATGTTTATGACCTTATGACCTGACACATGCCACATGCACATAATCTCAGGGGCTGGAGAGGATGATGAATGATAAATGTTGTATAATGTATTATGAAATGATAATGGTGAAACAGAATGAACATGTTTGATATTTTATAATCCAGATATATGTTTAAATAATGAATATAGACATTAAGGATATGATGTGTTATTTTACAGGGGTTTTTTAAACTGAGGCCATGGGGTTGTTCTAGACATCTGGTTTGCATTTACATTAGTTTTTTAAGAAGGGGCTTTTGAGAAGGGGCCTAGGCATGCAGCCAATAGAATGATCGAATGAGAGGGTGGTACGAACTAAAAAAAAAGTTAGGAATGTTTGTACATGTGGCTATAAAATTGAGCTCTTGGCGAAAAAGGGACAGTCTTTGTCTCTTTGGAAAAAGGCTCGGCTTTGTTTTTTAAATAAAGTCTAAATTCTTAAATTCACAGGCTCTGATGTCTTGAGAGATATTTTTGAGTTAATTATCTAGTCAAATGTTTCTACAACATAATTGGCGACCACGAAGGGACTTGATAGGGATCAGTGACGGTATGTATTTGCAGTTGTGAAACGGCTTGGACGGACCATACAAACAAAAGCGGCCGCTTTTAAAAAGGTAAGCCAAGTTCTTACTAAAATAGTATAAAGTTTGTGTGGTCCGATCCGGGACTCGGCAACATCTAAAGAAATACCAAGTAGGTCTCTCCAAATTTAAGAACCAGAAAGTTAGACACTAGGAGCTTTTGAATTTAAGAATACATGTTGCTGTTGTTTGTCTGAACCGTCTGTTCAATTGATTTGATTCATTTGATTCAGTTGATTCATCTTGCTGATTGCTCTGTCTGGGTCATTTTGACAT